GCCAATACTTCCTCTTTGTATATCTTCCTTGGAGGTTGTTTATAAGGACGAAATCCGTGTTTAATGGGTAATCGATGCTCAACAATGGAACGATCCAATCCGGGCATTTCCGTAATCCCAAGCAAAACAATCTTTGAACTCTTTCAATAGGTCTATCAATCTTGATTTATATTCGGGTCTAACTTTGCACTAATATACATCGGCCTTGGCTTAGAATCATCACCCACATTGATTTCTTCCAACTTATCAGCCGACATAAAACCACGTCCCAACTTTCCTTTGTTGCCATCGACGGGATTTCCCATTAAAAATTGCTATGAGAGCCGATCGCTTGGATCGGTGTTGGCCTTCGCTAAAAACATTTACAGGACCTTCTTTCCACAGTTTTCCAGAGAAACAATCGACGCCTTCATATTCCCAGTAGGTAGATTCTGTGGCAGCAACACTTACCGAATCATCAGCATGCACAACTTCAACATCATCTCCAATCCATTGAATGAGAATTTGATGCATGGTCGAAGGAATGCAAAGAATTAGCATGGATCCAATCTCTCGCCCAAGAGTAGACTATATGCCCCCTTGCCATCAATGACAAAAAAGGTAGTAATCAGAGTTTTTGACCCAATAGTCAGCTCGACATGGATAGCACCTTGGGTATCGGAAGGATTGCCAGCAAAGTCCCTAAGCACCATGTCAGTTTTCAACAATTCTTCATTAGTCATCCCAAGTTTCCTGAAGGTAGTATAAGGCATGATATTGATAGCAGCCCCTCCATCGACAAACATCTTAGTTAAAGGCTTGCCATTGACATATCCCTTTAAATAGAGTGGTCTCAAGTGACGATTCTTGATTGGTTTATCAAAAAGCAACTTCTTTGTGTTAACACAAGTCGAGCCATCAAATCTCGACATTCACTTTCATCAAAATCGAGTACACACCTCTTCTTGGACATCTTGGCTTTCGGAGCTATAAACTCGACGGAGGAAAAAAAAGCCATGCAAGCATTAGCCAAGGATCACATCCATCAAGCTTCTTTTTAGGACGCCATATTTGCTTTGTTTTGGTAACTTCCAGCTCCAACTCCCTATTCCTCAACCGTTGAACTCTTCTTTTCTGACTTTTCCTCAGGCCTGGGGGACACCACTGTCCTTTTTGCCATACGTATTTATAGAAGTCAGCTTCTTCATCATGCACTCTATCATGAATCCAACCTGAACCTGCAACTCTTTTCCTTTGCTGATTCTCAAAGCCACCTATTTTTAAGCGCCGATCATCTTCAGGAACCTTCGTTCCAAGTCTTTCATAGACGGGACGGCGGTTGACTCGAGATTGCCTATACTCGAGTATCGAGCACTACACTCCGGACAATTATTTCTTGCGTGTAACCTCAAACCTTCATTCCAACAATGCCTAAAAGAACGAACAACCCCAATGAGACCGCTCTCTGTTACATCATGTATTCTTCTTGCTCCCTTGGTATACTTTCTTCCTCATACCTCCTAAGCATTCTTCCATAAACCATTGCTTCTTACAGATTCCTTCTCTTGTTCCCTCTGCCACTTGTTTAGCAAAATACGGGATGTAACTCGGGTTTGAAGTTTGACCTTTCTCGGTTCGGCTATTCTCGAAACCGAACTCGTTCTTCTTGACTCTCTCATCGGTGACTTGCCGATCCGGGTCAACAAAGACCACTCTCCTTTGCTCTATCAAAAGTCAACACCTTCACCTTGCCTTTACCTTTGAGATCATTGGCAGAGACCATATTCACAGAGAAAGAAATCATATTTTGTGGAAAAGGCTGATCATCAATTTTCATCTTACCATCAAACCTCAAATGTCCCTCTTGGATAGCTTTCTGGATTCGTATTCTGAACACTCGGCAATCATTAATAGAATGAGAATTAGTGTTATGGAAACCGCAATACTTTTTGTCTTTCACTCCTTCAGGACGTAGCATAGGATGTCCTTCTGGCAGCTTGATGCGTCCTTCCTTTATCAACAATGCAAAAAGTCTGTCTGCCTTAGTAACATCAAAATCATAGGTTCCCTTTTGTTGTTTCAACCAGCGTTGATTAACTTGAGTGGGTTCCTTTGCCCAATTCAACTCAGCCGCAGCTATCTCATCTTCATCAATATACTCGGTCGCTTCATCCAGAAAGCCTTGATACACCTCATTAGTGGCATTGTTCTTCTGAAAGCGATTATCTCTCCTGAATCCTTGGGCTTGATTACTCATAACTGCTAAACGCTGTGCAAGTTGGCCAAGATCATCAAACTCTAAACCGAACAACTTCTCCCTGATATTCGGCAACATTCCTGCTATAGCTATTCCAGGTAGTTGATCATCCGGTAAATTCGTAGAATAACACATATTCTTGGTCTCCCTAAATCTGCGAAGATACTCCAATGGTGTTTCATTTGTTCTCATCCTCAGACTCATGAGATCAACCAACTTCTTCTCATTAGTACCCGTGTAGAAATATGAATGAAACTTCTGCTCTAGTTCTGCCCATGTACCAATGGAATGAGCTGGTAAAGACGTGAACCATGTGAAAGCTGGTCCTGTAAGAGACAAAGGAAAATATCGAATCCTCCAAGCTTCATCTGAAGCAGCTTCTCCAAGCTGCATTAAGTACCGACTGACGTGCTCTATGGTACTAGTATCATCTTGACCGTAAAACTTGGTCAAATCTGTTTGAGGCTTCACCCTTGGAGGCAATGCCACTCTGTTGTACCATTCTCGATAAGGAGACTTGTATGAATAGGATTGATTTTTTGGCTTCAAGCCGAAACTGATTTTGCATCATATCAGCCATCCTGCATGCATCAAAACATCAATGCACGGATCCCGATTTCCTTGTACTTGCACTCCGTAAGGCAATCTCAAAACACTTCTATACCTGGATTTGGCACAAAGATTGATAGCAATCATAATCAAGAAATTCTTGATATCCATCTCCATACATATTCTTCTCGCAATCTGCTTGATGTTTGAGAAACTCTATAAGTCAAGGTGGCACTTCTCCGTGTGGTACCAAATGTCACCTGGCCATAGGTGGGATGTGATTGCTTTTCAGTGTGAGTCAATCCACCTATATTTGAAGGCGACACTACTTCTTTTCCAACAGGCTTCTCTTGATGCTTTGGAACATTGAAAAGCGTCGGCCCACTGAGTGGTCCAACATTTTCTTCGAAGTATTTATCAACCATTGGGCCAAAAGTACTGATCATGATTGCCCGAAAGGTATTCAGAAAAGTTGTGTGATGGTTTGTCATGGTCTCTCCCATAGCTTTATAAACCAGGGCTGCCATCTTCTGAGCATCCTCCTCTTCAGTGTAATCAGTTTGATGCGGAAGAAGAACCCTTGGCATTGACTGCTTTTGAAATACTTTATTGCTCTTGTTTTTGGAAAAAGACATCAAGCATTTCCGTTGGTATTGCTCGCATGCTTGTAGCACTAAATCCTTGTAATTATCTGGCAATTCTGCCATGCTTACATCCAGAACATGATCATTGTTGATCTCAGATGCCATCTTGAACTAGCAGAGTTGTCCCACCGAGCGTGCCAAAAAGTGTGTTGACACAAAATGTGACGATCAGGCCTCACACACACGCAAGTTGAAAAGCGTAGCTTCAATCGGGTTCCCGTGCTTTGTTATCCGGAAGCGTGCGGTCGATTTGACCTGAAAAAAACTAACAAGGGATAGAACAATTAAATGTCAAACCGAACATGTCGGGTAATACCGATAGCTTCCTCATATCTGACCCGAAGCCACCTAACGACACATACGACTATAAAGAGTCATGCGCCAACAAGTTTATAAACCATTCGCTAATCGTAAGATGAATGCACGTAAAGGCCTAATTGCCGAACACATGTACATGAGAAGACATGTTTGAACAAGTGAAATTAATTATGAATTAATGCATAGCCAAGCTCAACCATCCGAATCGAGTTGGGATCCATGAAGAAGGAACGTGCAAATAAGCACGATTAAACCAATCTAAAACTCGCATCACATGCATACGACACCTAGTTCCGTCAAGGCTTAAACGTAATTATCATGCATGAATCAAGAACATGTGACAATCTAGATTAAAATAATTCAGCCATTACGCGTGTATTGTCTATTTGCGAAGGTAATACGAAAATAATGATCATTGAAGCGCTTGAATAAAACCATAAGAGAGGGCCGAACAATATTCGATCTAGATTGGGCGTAGTGTGTTACAAATATATAAAATATTTAAAACATGCAACACTTTGGATAACTTAATGAATCTATTTAGATTTTGCCATATCTAATAGAGCCGGTAACTATCTTGCTTTTACTAAGCATATCGAGCAAACACCGCCGCATACGGTATCTACTCATAAACGAAGCATAAGCAAAGACTTCTTGATTGTTAAGCAAAGATCCGCCGCATTTATCATTGAAAAACAAACAAGACTACTTGCATCACGTTTAAATCCACCGCATGATACTAAACATGATAATAAGGTTGTCGGAACTTACAGAGGTCGACGGATCGATGACTCCTCTCGAAGAACTCGACGACACGACAAAAGGACTCGAAAGTTGGCACGGGGCCGGGTGTATTGATTTGGTTGTGAACCTCTATTACAATGGTCGAGGGTCAATATTTATACCCTAGACAAAACACGAGTCCTAGAGGACTACGATTTACAAAGGAATCTTTAAATAAACTTGGAAACTCACGACTCCTTACCCTAAACTTTTAGAGTCCTTTACTATCACAACTTTCCCCTTTTCGATCGGTCTTGCCTGCCATCTTCTGTTATTCCCGAATGGAGTCACCGCCTTCTGGAGTAACCGACCGCAATGCATTTAGCCGACCGCTTGCTTTGTTTGCCGAATACCCTTCTTCCCGCATGTGGGTCCACCTGTCATCTTCCAGAATCGACCAAAATCCAGTGTTAACAGAGGTCTATTGCGCAGTAATTTCCTACAGGTATTGCTCCCAGAAATACTGCAACCTGTGTCACTCTGGCGATCCACTGAACTGGATAGATATTCCAAAATTTCCACATCGTCGTCGATGCTCTGTAATGCTAAAACAGAACTAGAATGAGCATAAGCAGGTTTAACATCGTTTTGGATTCCCCATGATGCCGGGGCAGCGAAAGGTCCAAATCCAGGCGGAATTGAGGGTTCAGGGTCCTCGATGACTGTGGCTGCAACGCCTTCTGTTCCCATCATTGCTAAAAACAAATGAAAGAGACTTTGATCAGCACAGCACGAAATGCATTATATCTAAGCTGAATAGAACTGACCATACAAAAATGTGCTACAACTATATATACTGATTCTTCAAGCAACTTGCTGCAATAAATACCATAAGATTAAAAGAACAAGCCCACACAGCAACAAAAGAGCACAGTCATGATCAAGCAACCTAGTTCAACATCATGAAAACAGATCTGAAACAAAAGGTGGAAAGGAACTAAGAGCAGCATCTTGACACAGTTGCAGACCACTTAGTTCCCATCCCAAAATGTTTTGTTATATTGCACTACATGTCTTATAATCTATACTGCTCACTCAAAAGTATATGCTTAACAGCGTAACTATAGTATGATAACTAAATCCACCAGCATCATAAGTTCCAGATCATCTCCACAGCAAATCCAGAAGAGCACCAATCAAGCATCATTCAAGGATGTAACACAACCAATCAATTTTGACTCCACACCAACATACTAACTTCTAGATCATCTACAGGCAAATCCAGGAAACCACCAACCTGTCAAGACTCAGGGGTGATGGCGTATTCGGCGCAAGGCGTCACTAGCTATCGATGGCGGCTAGTTAGTCATTTGCTATTGTAATAGAGTATGACAGTTGGGTCCCACAAACCAGTCGGCCTTAGGCCTTATATTCTCGCACTGTGACTTGTAAGACAATTAAGAATATTTTGCTGTAACGCGAACGAAAGACAGAACCGCCCTCTGCTCCTTCCTCGTCGGCGATCACCTACTTGTCTCTCACGTCTCCGGCGATCACCGTCGGTGGCCACAGGTGTTACAAGTGGTATCACAGACCATCTATCCTCGGCCCACTGTCCGATTTCCCCCTTTTTCCCGATCTCGATTTCATTTGCTTCGATCTCATATCATAATCCCGGGTGGCTGGTAGATCCCCGACGGCATCCCTGTGGTGCTGTGCTAGAGGTCCTGTAGGTCCACTCTTTGGTTGATCCGAGGTCAGCAGCGTTTTCGTTTTCGTCCACCTCCAAATCCACCAAATCGGCGAGCTCGAGCATCTCGGAACGCATCCACGGCGGCAGAACTTGGTGTGTGGCGTCATCGACGAGATCCGGCGGCGCGTCAACTGTCGGTAGTTAGGGGGAGGTGGACGAAAAAAATGGCTGAAAATTTTACATCTTTATTATTAGGTATAGATATAGATATAGATATAGATATAGATATATATAATAATCAAACAAGTGGCTTGCTGCAGAAGTACAAGTTCCAAGTAACAAGCACAAATTTTAGCTGAATAATTGGCAAACGCAGTTACAGTTTGATTAAAAGAAAACTTACACAATTTTCCAGTTAAATTGAAAATATGGTCCCTTGGGGGCATATAAACAGAAGAATTTGAACTTCAAGAGGGCATGAGCACATTTTGAGTCCCTAAGTTATTTGATGACGTACTCAGTCTTATCCGTGACATGGGCCACCTCTTGGCAGCATCTACAAGATCCAGACATGCCAATACGCCCTGTTCGTTTGGGCTGGTTTGACTTATAAGCCATGACTGAAAGTATTGTTGGCTGATTTAGTGTGAGAGAAAAATAATGTTCGTTGGCTGATAAGCTATGGCTTATAAGCCAAACACGACCAAGTGAACAGGCTGATGATGGCCTGACGTGAGAGAAAGGAACCCAAGCATCTAGTTTTCAGACGACTTCAGTGCACTCTCTTTCAGCGATCTCTTTCTCATAAAGTGGTACTATCCATCCACTGCTCAGAAATCTGTGTGTTCACAGCATATGAGATTGAAACATCAGCAGCATCAATGCAAAACTAGTAAAATACTCTAAATAATTCACAGTTTACATTCATATTCAAGAAAAAAATCAGCAAGCAGGAACTATAGATGGTGAATCATTTACAGCCACCAATGTACAAAATGATACTACCAAAGAAAAGATAGAATGAGTGAAATCAGTAACTACAATTGATACTTCAGCTTCCTTTGAAGAAACTGATATTTCAAACTTGATTATCAACATAATAAATTTCGATGATAGCTTTACATTTCCTTGAATTGTAAAAGCACTAAAAATGCAACTCTCATTTACTCCTAACAACAAAGTTTTGGTGGAGTACAGCAACTATAGGTGAATTTCTCTGAATTCTTCTTTATATACAACACCGCCAAGGTGGAAAACAGACGCTACAAGGCTGTGGAGATCTCTACAAGTTGAAGGTAATCCACAGATATAAAAAAAACATATTAGTTTTTGAAAGTTTTCAAAGAGATAAGAGATGCCTCAACTGAAGCAAGTGCTCCTCATTCGAGATGTTGAGCGAGAGGCGCAGGTTTGTCAGGAGTGACTCTTGCTCCCATGTCAGAGGTCCTGCAGCATGGAAAGCTCTGACGGTGGATTGGTATGCTTGCAGCTCCAGCTCATGGACATTCAGAAATAAACCAGAGCCATAGGCGTTCTTAATCTCCTGCCCAGATTGACATGCAGACATAACATCATCAGGGAAACAACTGCCGGTCCCGACTGATTGTTGGTTATCAATGGTACAGTAGTAATTTGCGCTGCAACTAGCCACTGAGCACTCGTTCTCTTCTCTGATGCGCAAAGGTTTCTCAGACAAAGGAAGAACTTTGCAAACTGTTTTTATCTCAGAAATGTTCTTGGTAAGATCATTGTATCTTCTACTTAAAGGCCTATGAAAGTGATCTCCATCGATAGCATTCCTAGCAGACACCTTCAGAGGCAACTCATTCTTGGTTAACTGACGAAATTCATATGCAGATACTTTCCGTTCCTTGCCTGTTCTTCTAACTAAATCATTAGGTGGAATCCTACTCGCTTCTAGTTTTCTCTTGACAGCTCTAGCACCAGTGGAAGCACAAATATTGGCTGCTTTCCTCTTAGCATGGTGAGCAACCTCTTCATAGGCTTGATGGTCCTGTTCCATCACAAATTTTGAGTGATGAGAGGAGCAGTCAGCAAATCGGATTGGTTGATTCAGTTGAATGACCTGAAAAAGGGAATGATACCGATGAAATACTTTCTCAAAGAAAGGCAAAGAAGAAATTACACTGGTAATGGGAGGATAGTAAAGAGATTATTATGCCAGATACTGAAGTCAAGCAAATGCTCATGGTGAGAGGTACCACTGATTCACCATCACTCGCTTCTTGAAGCACAAAAATTTCTATATTAAAAATGTTCAGTCTATAATAAGTTGAAGATAAGGGAATATTCAATTTTCAACTTTCAACAAGTGTTAATGCTTTCACAATAGACCAAACCAAACCATATAATGCAAAAAGCTGAAATATCTATCTGCACTTTGTCCATGATCTGCATCCAAATTCCTAACTTTTATTAACTGGAAATGAGACATATTCCTTTCATTCGAGAAAAAAATTCATTTCATGAAGTACCTTTTCTGTCCAGGTGCATTTTCTCGCGTGGCAAAAAAAAGCAGCTTTTCACTTTTAAACAAAAGTAATTCAGTGTTTGAAGTTCAAACACATGCAATGGAACTATTTTCATTTGGACAATAATCAGAATATGAAACAAATATACTTCACAGATATTAACTAGAAATATAAATTCTAAACAGTATCTCACCCTGTCTCCTACAGTCAACTGCTTGCTATCATGTGGAATTCTCAAGCAAGATATGTGGAATTCTCTTGGTTGGATGCAACCCGCTAGCCTGATGACAAAACAGTCATTGTTCAGCACTTCTGTAATCTTCCCAAGCCTCCACGAATTATGATCCAACACCTCGGTTACATCACCAAGAACCCATCTACTTCGTCTGACTTCAACTGGTGGACGAGGCTTGACATCTTCAGTCTGCATGTTCATGGCTGCAAACTTCGCTTGAGCAACCAAATGTGGAAGACCTGAGCCTGAACGGCAGTCTTCAGGCTTAACATCCCTATAGAACGGAAGTCGCCTACTTTTAGCTTCATCATATCCCACTAAAACCTGAGCCTGAAATATATATGCACATAAAAGGTGGACCATAAATAGAAGTCAAAAGAAGCACTAGCACACAGGGAAGAATATGCAAACATGAATGGATAAGAAAATGAAGACCTTGTTTGTTAAGAGCCAAGTATTGTATTTCTAGGTAAAGCGTACAAGTAGAATACAAAGTTCCCCTTAATAAATGATTTGACAGAAGAATGTCAAGGATATAAAGTCATCAGAATAAACCAACAGTCTTATTTGTATGGTGTTATGCCTAATCAGATTAAAAGTAGGCTATCTGAACAACGTATTGTAATAGGTGTTTGTTGACACCGTAACAACAAAAGAAGTTATTGAGACACCAAGATAGCACTATGCATAAAAATCGGATGAGGAACACAGAAAGAGCTGAAGGCAGAGTCCTATAATCTGGATGAGCAAATAAATGAAGGCAGAGTTCATAGTGTCCAACATTCAAGGTTGCCAACATGAGCCAAGAAATGTTTGGTAAACATGACTGAAAAAGAATCATAGTGCCATTAGAAGCAAGATCTTGTCCCTCACTCTGAGATGTATTCTTAAAACTACTTGGCTTACTGTCAAAGATAGCCCAGGAGAAAAAGAAAATGACAACTTGAACCTTCTTATATACCCCAGATATTAGAAGGGCACAAACTATCCATTATATAAGCTCCACAAGCCCAGTCACAAATTCAGAGTACGACCTTATATTCAGGTTGAGCGCTGGGCGAGAATCGAACAGTCATGTAGGGAAAAATTTAAAATCAATGAGCCTAAAAATAGGTGAATCAACTAAAATTTCTACATAATATAAGGAAATCAGGTCCTATATGTGAAGCAAGCTTGGGGGTATAGATTCAATCCCCTGCATGTTATTAGATGTGGCCCAAATTATCTAAACAGGATAACTAAAACCAACTGCTCTGACTTCAAGCTAAGACGCTGAAGCAGGAGCAATTCCCCAGATGGGTAGATCCCAGAAACAGAAGATAATCCATACAGGTTGGAAACTTCTGTTCTTGAAACATTCAAACCGCTTGCAACCCGTTAGACAGAACAGATGCCACAAAACTTCAGCTAAAAGCATGTCTTAAATCCTAACCATTCAGAACCACAATCAAGAATCCTGATAGCAAAAGAAGAACAGCACACAAGCTCAATCTGGAGTCGTGGATGCAAAAATTAAACGTAGAATTAATCCTGTACCACACTGGAAAGGCAAAACAGGAACTCAAATGGAAGAAGAAATAAAGAGAGATAGGAACAAGTTGCTTGTCCGAATCTTGATCCAAAAATGTGTAGCAACTGACTAGAAGACTTGATTTAATCCTAATCTAACCAAACTACAACGTGGAAAGAAATTCCAAGAAACTAACAACAAACTGATATGACCTTAAGCAAACCAAATACTGGGGTTGCAGATCCGTGAGCACTAAATAAATCACCTCAAGAACTCTGGGTTTTTTTTTTACATCGATTTGAGGAAACAAAATCTGGAATGTCTAACTGAATTACTGAAAGACAGACAGCAGCAGCTCAAACTGAATTCAGGACAGAACTTACAGACATGCAAACTTTGAAGTCAAGGAATCCAAGAATCTGCTCTCAGCAGTTTCACCTGAAGCAAGCCAACCCAAGTACCCAACTAACTCGCCTTGTCGATCTAGGAACTCAAAAAGAAAAAAAGAAAAAAAAGAAAAAAAAAGAGTTACTTCTGATGAACCGCGATTGGGCTGTTCTTCTTCCGACCGATCTGAGATGGATTACAAGGTCAGAATCCGAGAACGGCAGCCAAGAAACAGAGATAAATAGAGAGAAAAAGAATTAATTTTCCCCAACTAAACTCCTAAAATAGAAATAAAAATCGGATGAGAAGAGATTTAGAGCACCGAAGGCGACCAACCTTGGGGTAGGGAAAGATTAATCCGGCGGCTAGCAAGCAATCGAGGCGCCTAATTCCGGGGCCAACCGTATGAGAAAACGGTGTGCTGGCTCGTTCTGTATATTGGCTGCTTCTTCCGGTTCTTGCTTTCCTGTTTCTTGCGTTTGCCATGGGGATTTCGTTTTTCAATTTAGTTTTAACCTCCATTTTTTTGTAAAGAAAATACATTTGATTTGTCACTTGTTCTAATGTTCTTACATGGAATGCATATGGTAAGTTATTTTGTTTATTCTATTTTTTTGATAGAATTTGTAGGACCTCTAGGTGCAGATCTACAGCCTCTTCGCGTGGTCGTAAACGACTTGTTAGAACAATATTTTTTTCTCATACCAAACCAGCCAACAGTAATAATCAACGATCGTATATGATCGTATCAGCACCTGCCGAACAGGCTACTAGCGGGTAATGACTTAGCTTAGATAGGGAACTTGATAATGTACCTCATCCAGTGAAATCGCGGCCATGGCGCCGGCGAGAAAGTAGCAGTAGCTTGAAGCGCCCGCTAGGGTCTCGAAGAAGGCAGGAGTGCAGGCGCGGTCTGAAGGCAACGGGGAAGGTGGTGGAGCTTCCCGTCGCTCACAGCGCACCCTCACGATCAGACTAGGGTTAGGGCATGATGGGGCACTGGCGGCTGCGGTATACCTCGTTACTTGCGTCCCGGCTCCCACTTTCCTCTTTATAGCGCTGCGCGACGGGGCCCATCGACTACGAGAACGGCTGGGCGTCCCCGATCAGGGCGCGGATCAAGGGTCCAATTGGCCGTTGGGTCTACTAGTGGAGATCAATCTAACATTCTCCCCCTTGATCTCACCTTATGACTTAAACTTAACTTACTTTATCTTTTTTTTATTCCATCGCAGATCAGTGCATAGAGCGTGCCTCATCGTCACGGTCAGTTACCATTAGATTAAACAGCTACAATGCACTTCTCTGTTTTGAAACAGATTCTCAACTAGACCCTTAGTATTCAGAAATCATAGACTTTCCCATAAACCCATGTTGACTGTGTGTTCTATAAACGCACTAGGTGGTTAGCCTTTGGTAAGCGGATCCGTAAGTACTTGCTTGGTACTTATATGCTCAATGCTTTTAAAATGATTCTGGATTTTCTCCTTTACAACATATAACTTAATGTCAATGTGTTTGGCAGCACACTTGACCTGTTGTCTTAGGAGTTAACTACTTTCAATGGTTATTGCTGTTGACTACCATTGTTAAATCCGGGTACATATTCGCTTAACCACTTTTGCCTGTTCCTGAGGCCCCATGACAAGTTATACTATGGTATGCATCATTGATGACACTACACCTGTTTTATTGGAGCTTTTCACAATAATACTCCAACTGCGAGTGTTAGCAACTACTGTGGATTTCACTACACATCTCGCCAAAACTTAACATTTGTACCCACAACTATTTGAGAGTACTTGTTCTTTCTTATACAACATGAGGCCTATGATACTTTGCAAAAATTACAAGACATTCTTAACTCTATTTCAGGGATCTATATCTGGACTGGACTTCTGCCAAAATATCCCAGATAAATAAGCTACGTTAGGGTAAGTTCTTACTTGTACATTCATTAAGCTTTCAACAGCTGAAGCATATGGAACCATGTTCATTTGATCGATCTCATATCGGTTCCTGGAACACTGAAAGTTCCCAAATCTATTACCCTTGACTATAGGAGCAGGCGTAGGTTTCCTCGCATGTATATTTTATTTCTTTAGAATCTTTTCTAAGTATGCCTTTGCGATAGTCCTAATACTCCTTTTCATCTATCTCGGTGAATTTCAATTCCTAGAACTAATGAGGCTTCACCAAGATCATTCACATTGAAACTTGAGGACAAAGACTTCTTTTTCTCCAATGGCAGATTAACATTACTACCAGTGAGTAGGATGTCATCTATGCATAGGATGTGGAAAAAGAATTTCAATTCTTGAACTTGGCATAAACGCTATTGTCCTTTTCATTTTCTTTAAACCCAAACTTTCTTATCGTTTCATCAACTTCAAATACTACTGTCTAGAGACTTGTTTTAACCCATAAATGGATTTCTACAAGTGGCATCCCATATATTCTTTTTCTTTCACGACAAAACCTTTGGGTTGTGCCATGTAAACATTTTCATACAAATCCCCGTTGAGGAATGCCGTCTTTACATCCATCTGATGTAACTCTAAATCGTAATGTGCCAATAACACCATTATGATTTAAAAGAATCCTTACATGAGACTAGAGAGAAAACTCTCATCATAATCTATTCATTCTCTTTGCATAAAGCCTTTTGCTACAAGTCATGCTTTATATCTTTTCATATTCCCTTTGGAGTCACATTTTGTCTTATAGATCCTTTCATAGCCTATTGTTTTGGCTCCATTAGGAATTTCTTCTAAGTCCCAAACATCGTTGGTATTCATCGAATTTATTTCAACTTCTATAGCTTCTTGCCATTCAAACGAGTAAACACTTCTCATGGCTTCTTCAAATGAGGTGGGATCACTTTCCATTTGAATTTCTTCACTAATATAAACTTCATAGTCATCAGAAAACTGGTTTACTAATTCTTTGAGACCTTCTAGGACCTCAACTAATGACACTTTCATGTGGGGCTGTTGTTGCTCTTTATTGTCAAGAGGCAATTGATTCTATAGGGTCCCGTATTACAAGATCCTTGTTTACATTATTCATCTACTTCGAAAAGCCAACAACAGATGTTGTATAAGTCATACAACAACAACAGGTATTGAGAAATTCGTTGTTTTTGAATCACTGAAGTGGGCACGTAGCCCCGCTTCTCTTCAAGTCATAGGTCTCTACATACTATGCTCCCCCACATCATCCCATCTTCTATAAAGATAGTGTATCTTCAAATTTTTTATTTAGGTTTAATCTGTTAAAACCTTATATGGCGCTTTAAGCACCGCCTTAATATCTTTGAGGCTGACTACGCTATCTTTCTCTCGGAATTTTTAAAAAATCTAGGAATTTAACTATTTCTCTGCTTAGGGGCATCATTGTTATGATCGACGGTCACATTCATCAAAATCTTTATCCCACTCAGTTTCTTACAAAATCTGTATCTCGCTCTTAATGAAAAGTACACATTCATCAATATCTTTATCTCACTCTTAATGAAGAGTAGTTTCTTAATTGATCTTAATTCTTACTCTTAATTCATCTCACAATTCTCCTACTCGAAATATGGCATGAACTATACTGCCATAATTTCGAGAGCTATTCAGAAAACTATGAACGAGAAGACACTTATGACTTACTTCATTCATATGATTATGCCATGGAAATAAAGTTATTTCTTGATCCGTATAGGAGTACACTTTCCTCATTCCACTTCAAGAACTCGACGAGGTCTTTTATTAACTATACTTTTGCAAGTCACGCTTGCATCTTTTTCTTATCCTTTGATTAGTATTGACCATGATGGTGCATTTCTATTTTACCATGGTCAATACTAGGATGGCATAAGAGCTACCTAAACTTCTCTCGTTATGTGGGATACAAAAATATATGAGTTATCACAAAATTTTTCCCGCCATGCATGATTGACTAGCATAAGTACTATGCCAAACTTCTCTCCATGTGGGATAAATCTATATACAAATCATCATAACGAAAAATTTAGTCATGATGACTAAAACATTCACTTATACTTCATTTTCTAATTAAATCTTTCCGTTGGTTTCAATTTAATCAGAAAATGAGTAAACTAACAAAAACCTGTCGTGAACTAGCTTGATTCAAGCCTTTCTTCATTCACATACTCCAGCGTTGTAGCTCATTGGCATGCAGCCGAGTGATCTCGTCGGTTAAAAAATAAAACTTACAAGATGCTTCTGCATCAATTCTACATCACCGTTGGGCAGAAAATAGAATTAATGCATAAAACTCATAAATTTACTTAAAAACATATAACTACTCTTAAAAATCAAATTCTTCGTTGGTTCGTATTTAATTAGAAGATAATCAATATCATTACAGCAAAACACGATAATAAAATACATGCTATTAGTTCAGGAGCATTTCTTGGTTTTTATCTACTCTCTGAAAAATTGACCATGTTGGTGTAAAATTTATCAGAGATTTAAACTTCAACCTTAAACTCATTATAATATTGTTATCATCAACGTTGGTCAGAAAATAACAATACCATAATTTAACATAAACAAAACAAACTACTCCTCTAATTTAAATTTTTCTGTTGCTTTCAATTTAATTAGAGGATAAACATAATCATAATTTACTAAATATAACTGCTCTTTAAATTAAATTCTTTCGTTGATTCGAATTTAATTAAAAGATAATCAACATTAAACTTTGCAGCGGAAATATGAAAAAAATTTCAAATTTTGACAGGGATTTAAATTTGACAAAGAATCATCAAAATTTGCTTCTGAAAATAATAAAACAAAAAACTCAGTGTTTACTATTCATTCAAATTGGCCCGACGGAACAAAGATATCTGACCAGTCTATGTCGCGCGTCTGCAAGTGGGTCAAACATAGCGCGGCGCCAGCCCCCCAGCGCTTAGGTCGCAAATCGGGCTCGGCCGGAATTCGCTCGCTTGCTTAGGTTGTTTTCGGTCCAAATGATCGTTGGTCGTTCATCTTGATCGACGGTCGTCTCGTGTGTAGCTTTCGAATAAAAGCATGCCATGGCCGTCTTCACCCTAACCCTAATTCCATTTTCCCTTCCCTTTCTCTCTCTTCGCCGCGGCGCCGGTTTTCTTTCCCCTTTCTCACCCCGAAACACAGCTGGAGAGAAGAGTGGTGGTGGCGCCACCGTGGCGCCCTTCGCCGGTGCACGCATGCGGCTGGAGCCGCGCGCGGTGCCGTTATCTTTCATATTAGTTTTTTGTTCTTTTATTACATGTTTATTATAGTCTTAGTGGTAGACATAACTAAATAATAGATTAATAAAGTTGATTAGGCCCTGTTTGGATTCATTATTTGATAATAGTTAGCTGGCTAATATCTCATTAATCTGATTTGGTTCATCTAGTGGGATAATTGTTATTTAAAGATCCAGCTAACAATTAGCTAGTCTATTATCTATATATATTTGGATCCAAACATGGCCTTAACGAAACA